TGTTTTAAAAAGCTTTTTGGGTGAACTCAGCTTCGGATTTATTAGTAATAGAAAAGGAGGAGGAAGTCACCAACCTGTGTTTAATAACTGATAATCTTGATCAGTAAGATCAAGAAGAGGTATGTGACTTAAACTATACTGAATTACTTGAAGTTTCTGAAATAATACATACAACATATAGAAAACTTAAAAAAATGTATGCTAGATTGAACCTAGAATTGCAAGAATTACAAAAAGAGCATGAAATTCTTAAGAAAGATCATGGACTGATAGATAACAACCACACATGATTACTTAATGAATTCAATGATTTAAATAAACAAAATGATCTTTTAAAATCAACCAATACTAAATTGGAAAAAAAATTATGGATTTTAGGGATGAATCTGAAAATAGAGAGCACTGTCTTAAATATGATATTAATGAGTTAGAAGATGAAAACATATTTCTTCATTTGAAAGTAAAAGTTTTTGAGGAAAATAGGAAACCCCCAATACTTGAAGATTGTACTAATCCTATTTTGAAGCCCAAAATTTTGAAACCCAGGAATAAACGAATTTATTTTTGAAGATTGAGAAAAAACTATTTCTTAGAAATAAATGTTTTACATGTCGGATGATTAGAAATATTTCACATACTTGTACTTTTGATAGAAAAACTCATTTAGTGTGGAGACCTAAGATTCATAATCCAAGTCATATCATACATGCATCTGCTTTTATTTTGCAAAAAGATAACCCAAACAAGTTTTGGTTCCTAAGACTAACATTTGATTATTTTGAATGCACACTCTCATACAAAATCTCATGAGAGAATTTGGTACCTAAATAGTAGTTGTTTGAAGCATATGACCGGAGACACTAAACAATTCATATCATTGGAAGCCAAGAATGGAGGCAAGGTTATAATAGGAGATAACACAACTAGGAAAGTGGTTGGAACAAGTATGAACGAAAATTTACAAAAAAATTTCATAGAAAATGTATTACTTGTTGAAGTATTAAAACATAATTTGTTAAGTATTAGACACCTATGTGGTATAGGGTATAGCATTAAATTTTTTCCCACTAGTTGCATATTAAGCCTAAATGGAAATGGTGTATTGCATGAAATTAGGGTAAACAATGTTTATATGCTAGATTTGAATGAATTAAAGCTCCTAATTTTTTTTGTATAAAATAATTTCTTACAAATCATAGTTATGTCTTAGGAGAATCTGTCATGCTAGCATGAAAAACAAAAGGAAAATTACCCAAAAATATTTGGATATAAGTATACCAAAATTAGACTTTACTGAGGATCACCTCTGCGATGTATATCAACTAGGAAAACATGTGAAGTCATCATTTCATTCAAATTAGGATCTTAGAACTAGTGAATTATTAGAGATTATACATATGGATGTATTTGGACCGGTTAGCACTATAAGTCTAAGAGGAAAGGTATACAAAGTTGTGATAGTTGACAATTTCGCAAGATTCATGTGGGTTAAATTTTTATTTCATAAGAATGAATTGTTTAAGGAATTTTGAAAATTTTCAACTTGGATTTAGAGGAAACTAGGAAATAAAATTCTAAAAATTCAAAGTGATCACAGAGGTGAATTTGAAAATAAAAAAAATTAATATTTTTTGTAAAGGATGAGGAATTGATCATAATTTCTCTTCACATAGAACCCCTCATGAGAATGGGGTAGTCGAAAGAAAGAACGAAACATTAATTGAAACTGCTAGAACCATATTGTTAGAATATTCACTTCCTAAATATTTTTTGGGCTGAAGCGGTTAGTATTGCATGTTATATTTTCAATAAGGTCAACATTAGATCAAAATTAAACAAAACACCATATGAGCTTCTTAAGGGGAGAACACAAAATTTGTCACATTTATATGTTTTTTGATGTAAGATATTCATACATAATAATAGAAAATCTTCTTTAGGAAATTTTGATCCAAAATCAACTGAAAGAATTTTTCTTGGATACTCTAGTGTTAGAAAATCATATAGAGTATTTAACAACAGAACTTTGATAGTTGAGAAGACCACACATGTTAGATTTTATGAATATGGTATTTTGGAAGAGCCATGTTAGAAAGAGGATGATTTAGAAAATAACTCCCAAAAAATTGAGAAGATTAATCTGGAAGAAAATTTGGAGATAGAAAACCCTTTGCCTAGAGACTTGAAATTTTCTAGAAATCACCCAAGGAAATTATTTTAGGTGAACCTAGTGAGGGTTTTAGGACTAGTTATGGACTTAGCAAAGAAGTCAATCATTATATCTTTATTTCAATGATAGCACCCACTAATGAAAATTAAGCACTTTCAGATAAATTTTTTTATTTTGGTAACAAAAGTAGAATTAAATCAGTTTGAAATGATTTTTGGGAATTAATTATAAGGCCAGAGGATTAAAGTGTAATTCAAACTAAGTGGGTATTTGAAATTAAAATGAATGACTCATGAGTTGTTGTTAGAAGTAAGGCTAGATTGATGGCTAACGGGTATTTTTAAATGGAAGGAATTGATTTTGAGGAGCTGTAGTGAGCCTTGAAGTAAATTAGGGTTTTCCTAGTTTTTGCCAATTTTAGAGGGTTTAAATTGTATCAAATGGATGTCAAAAGTGCCTTTTTGAATGGGGTAATTCAATAGGATGTATAACAATCTCCAGGCTTTAAAAATTGAAAATTCCCAAGTTATGTTTTTAAATTAAAAAAGGCATTATACAAATTGAAATAGGCACTTAGGGCCTTATATGAGAGGTTAAGCACTTTCTTACTTAAGAGATCTTTTGAAAAGGGAAGTGTAAACACAACTCTCTTTTTAAAGAAATTTGAAGACGATATACTCATTATTTAAATTTATGTAGATAATAACATTTTTGGATCTACAAATAAAAATTTTTGTGATGATTTTTCTAAAAAATGAGTAGTGAATTTTAAATGAGCTTAATAGGAGATATTAGTTATTTTCTTATTTTTAGCATTAAGTAGATTAAGGAGGGAACATTTCTTACTCAGGCAACATATGTTAAGAATATCCTCAAGAAGTATGAAATGGATAATGCTAAACCATTTAGTACACCTATGAGTTCTCAGTTCAGTTGGATAAAGACCCAAAGGGAAAATTTGTTGATCAAAAGAAATTTAGAGGAATTTTTGGATCTTTGCTTTATTTGACAGCTAGTAGATCATATATTATGTTTTATGTTTATTTATGTGCTAGATATTAATTAGATCTAAAAGAATCGTATTTGATAGCAGTAAAAAAGTTTTTGAGATGTCTCTTGGGGACTCAAAACTTATGGATTTTTTATCCTAAGTACAATTCTTTATTTGAAATTGTTGGATATTTAGCTCATACTTTATAGGTTGTATGGTTGATTGAAAGTGTACATATAGAACTTATCAATTTATCAGAAATTCTTTAGTTTATTGGTCTAGTAGTAAATAGAATTTTGTAGACCTATTTACTACTAAAGATGAATAAGTTTCCTTAGGAAGTTGTGTGACACAAGTTCTTTGGTTAAAATAACTGTTGCTTGATTTAAGATTTATAATAGGCATAATTCCAATTTTTGTGATAACACTACTACCATTTTAATTTTAAAAAATCCTATTCAATATTCTAGAAGTAAACATATAGATATATGGTATGATTTCATTAGGGATCATATATCCAAAGGAGAAATTAAATTGAACCATGTTTCAACTGAAAATTAACTTGCATATATTTTTACAAAACTTCTAGACTGTGATACTTTTAGTACATTAAGAACAAGCTTAGGTTTGATCGATCTTAATGCAAAGATAAATTCTTATGTAAACATGATATGTTTCCATGTGTATTTTCTATTTTTGGTTGTTAATATTTTTTTGTGTGTGTTTTTTCAAATTTTTGTTTTGTTTTTTTTTTTTGTTTTGTTTGATTTGGAAATGTATCACATATCAAAAGTTCTATTTTTGATTTGTTGTGCTGAATTTTCAAATTATTTTATTCATACTATATGAAATTACTTTCGTCATGTATGAATTTTGTGGCATGTCAATTGTTGTTTAGACAGAATGCATAAAGTTTTGATATTCTAACATAGATTTTATTGTACCATACTAGTATCATCTCATGTGCATTGTATTCATTCATCTATACATATTTAGATGGTTATCCGTGTAGAATAAATTATTATAATGGATTGTACGTACAAAATAAAGAACCACATGTCATTCTCTGTGGGAAAAAACCTAACCATCATTAAAATGATCTTAATTAATTGATCATTTCAGACGAACACATGTTCGTCTGTATGATTGTATGGTCAAAAAGTCTATATGAAAGGATGCCTTGTAAATTGTGTGTTTATAAAAAGTCATTTCATTTTGAATGTTTTCGTTCATCCATACAAAAAGATTTTTGTCCTGTAAGATCTCATAATTGTATGTACGAATTGAGTTTTGTATTGTATAAAGGATCATTTTTCTTTAAATAGGGGAGCATTAGAATTCATTTTCTTTCACTTCAACATCCTCCTTGAATCCTTCTCAACTTAGAAATGGCAAGTTCTAGCAAGCGTGTAGAGTTTCTATGGGTTCATCATCTAGAGGTGGAGACAAAAAATTTATCTCTAGCATAAATGAGGATTCCATCAAAAGGTTTTTTCCTCCAAAAATCATTCCCTCTAGGATATTTCAGCAAGATAATATCCACTTTCAAGTAATGAATCTTTTTGCTTCAACCTAGTTGGCCTTTATTTCAACTTTTATCCATGCTTATCTTTTTTTTTTTTTTTTTGAAGATTGCAAAGATGCATTAATGACTAAAGGAAAAAAGTTACAACAAGTTCAAAGAAAAGAAGCCTCATATTCCTTCTTCAAAAGACATGATAGGGAAGAAGGAATATCAGTAAAAGAAATAGAATCAAAATAGAAATCGTTCTTCAATGCAAGAGTTGCGCATAAATCAGCAACTTTATTACCATTCCTATCAGTATGTTGAAAAATCACCTTATTGAAGTCGTGTAAGAAGTAGAGCTTCTCGGTGTCTTGACCAGCAGCGGTATTCTTCACGACAGAGTTATGTAAAAAATTGATAACATTGTAGTTATCTCCCTCTATAATCAGTCCTTTACAGTTAAGTTTCCAATCCTGGATGTAATCCTTCAGAGCATAAACTGCTTCCAATTCTAGTTGATTGATATCCCAATGTAATCTCTTCTTCCCAAATGCAAGTAATAAATTTCATTTAGAATCCCTTGCTGCACCGCCAATGCTTGCTAAGCTAGAGTTCAGGAGTGATGCATCAACGTTAAATTTGATCCAATCTAGTGGTGGGGGATGCCAAGTAGCACCGGACTCCCTTAGGAGGTTAACATCTCAGTTAACTAGAAATTGGAACTTGTTAGTGGTAGCAAAGATCACATTTGCAGCAATCACAGAAACAGGGGAAACTGGATTGCAATGCTTTTTGTCATTTCTGCGGTTCCAGGAATAATAAACTGCCGTGCCGTAAAGCCTAACAGTATCAGATCTTTTACAGGAAAGTATTTTAAGTTGTTGGAAGCAATCTTCAAGAGAGATAAATAATGGAATGTAGAATCCCCAAGCTATCAATTTATTCAGAATCTCAGTTAGAGACTTACAATGAATTAAGATATGTTCGCTGGTTTCAATATCCAGACAACCATAAGCACAAAGATCATTAGTAGTTAGCCTTCTGTATTTCAAAAACTCATTCGTTGGAATGGAAAATCTGCTCAAACGCCACAAAAAAAGTTCAACCCTTGGCTTAAGCTTCAACTTACGTAGCCATATAGCAAAGCCATGATCTTCAAAGGTATTCTGAAATTTAATCACTTCAGCATAAGCCAACGAAGTGATTGATTTACCTGAATGTTGGTAAAGAAGCTCCATACTGCCATTGTCATCATTTTGAATGATACAATGTGTAACAATGAGGTTAACTAAATATGGATTGAAGTAACGGTTGAGTTCAATATAATTCCAGTGACCGTCCGTGAGAAAATTCTGTAATGTAAGATTTTCCAAACCAATACAATCAGCTAGCATTGGCCATTTATTAAAATTTTTATCAAAAAGCCAAATATCATCCATCATGTTAATGTTAGCACCATTGGAAATTTTCCATCTGATGATAGGCTTGAGGAATGAAACTCCATTGGAGATTATGGATCTGGCAGCGGATTGTCCCTGTTTTGACTTACCATTCCAAATATTCGAAGCTTGTTTAGCAGTCAAGCATTTGAACAAAAGAGAGGAAGGATTTTGATAAAATCTCCAGGCTAAGCGGGCACGTAAAAGCCCAACTCTTTTAACTGAGGAATGCATACCCAGACCTCCACGGTTTCTCGGTGTGCACAGGTCATCCAAAGCGATGTAACGTAGTCCCTTGTTATCTTTGTTCTGATGCCAAATGAAGTCGCGGCAGATGCGGTCCAAATCATAAAGAATTTTCTTTGTGATTAAAGAGTGAGTAGAGACAAAGGTTGGAAGCGAAAGCAGGGATGATTTTGCTAGAATTAGTCTACCAGCCATAGAGAGGAACCGAGCTCCCCAAGAGTTGAGTTTATTTAAAGCATGATTAATGACAAATTGATAGTAATTCTTTGCCAGCCTTCTCAAAGCAATTTTAATGCCAAAATAGTGAAATTCCTTGACAATCTTAAATCCAGTTTTTTTACCAATCTTACGTTTCAGAGATTGGTTAGTAGAACTCCCAAAGATAATCTGTGATTTGCTTTGGTTTACACCTTTCCCAGTCCATCCACAATATTCTTTGATTAAATTCATCATTACACGAAGCTGAGAGTCGGAGGCTTTGCCAAACAACAGAACATCATTAGCATAAAGCAAATGAGTGATTCTAGGAGCTCTATTCGACGTTTGGATGCAAATTTGAAGACCTCTTTGCTGAATTAAGCTAGACAGAAGCTGAGAGAACATAATAAAAAGGTAAGGTGACATGGGGTAACCTTGTCTAAAGCCACTCTTGGCTTCAATCCATCTTGTTCCTTTACCATTCAGGAGAATAGAGAACCGAACTCCTGTGACACATTCTAGAATAAGGTTGGAAAAACTTCCCGGGAATCCAAACCAGTGAAGGACATTCTCCAATGTCTTCCAACACATACTGTCAAAAGCTTGGGCCATGTCAAGCTTGATCGCCATTAAGCCTTTCTTATTTTTAGAGATCCTGAATTTATTACAAATTTCAAGAGCCAAGAGGCAGTGATCTGACATAGATCTACCCGGAACATATGTAACTTGCTCCTCGGTGATGAGTTTAGGAATGAAGATTTTGAGTATATTAACTATTATAGAAGTAGCAATTTTGTAGATAGTTTGACAAAGACATATAGGAAGAAAATTGGAGGGAGTTACCAGATTATTGATCTTGGGAATAAGAACGATCAAGGTGTCTTTCCAAGCTCCGTTCATGCGTCCAGTGGTGAAAAAATGATTGATAGCTCTCCAAGTAGTATCTTTAATAATGTCCCAATAGAATTTGAAGAACGAAGAAGTTGAGCCATCTAATCCCGGAGATTTGTTTGAGCCTAGCTGGGAGACGACATTAAAGAACTCAGTTTCTGAAAATCCTGAATTAAGGCAATCGATATCTGCAGTATCAAGTTTCTGGTTGTGTTCAATTTCAGGCCAGTTCTGGATATTGCAGCTTCTTGGCTTCCATTTGTCTTCAAAGAACTTTAAAAAAACTTATTCAATTTTGTCCAAATCATCCACCGTGGTATTGTTCTCATCCTTAATTTGTCTGATCCACTTGCCATTCTTCCTAGCCGTCGAATAGGTATGATAAAATCTAGAGTTAGTATCGCCATCTTCGTTCCATTTGGCTTTGGCGCGCTGATTCCACCATGTAGAGAGTCTAACTAGAGTGACGTTATACTCTTTAACATTACTGCATAGCGTGTCAAGATCTTCAGGACTGAGACCACCCGCCTCATCTTCTTGCAGTTTCAATTTGATAATATCATTCTGCAGTTCATCTTTTAGCTAATTTAAGCTTTTGCATTTGTTTCTATTCCAGAAAAAAAGGGATTTCAAAGTTCTCTTGATTTTTATGTTAAGGATCTCTGAGTCATCACCATAATCATGCTTATTCCATGCTTTAGCTACAATGCCTTTGGTAACAGGATAGGATCTCCATGTATCTTCAAAATTGAAGGTTTTAGGATGCGAATGCATAGTGTCGTCCAGCTTAAAAGCCACTGGACAGTGGTCTGAAGCAATTCATGGAAGGTGCTTGGCATGAGCAGATGGAACCAACTGTAAAGAAGGTGAATTTAATAAACAGCGATCTAGCCGTTCCCAAATTCTAGTAATTCTGTGCTTATTATTGCACCAAGTGTATTTAGGACCAACAATGCTTAAGTCATGAAGGTCTTGATTTACCATAAAAGATTTCATTTCTTCAGTTCCTTTAGTCATTTTAAATCGTTTGCCACCTCTTTTATCTTCAGTAGAAAGGAGGCAGTTGAAGTCTCCTCCCACAATCGTGGGTACATCAGACATCATAACCTTGTCAAGACAATTCCAAAGATCACGTCTGACTTGGAAGTCCTTATGACCATACACCATGGCAACATGCCATAGGCCTTTGTTTGGTGTAGTCAAAGCGCCGAAGACAACCTGTGAGGTATGTTCAATCACAGTAAAGCTAGTCAAATTGCCATCCCACATAATCATAATACCTCCTACAGTTCCAACTGCAGGTTGGTGAAAGAAATCCCAGCTATTGCCAATGATACGACCAACATCAGTCTTACTAATCATGGAGACTTTGGTTTCAGCCAAACCAACAAAGAAAACTGAATTATCTCTAACCACTTCTCTAAGGTAGAGGGCAGTCTCTTTCTTCTTGACCCCTCTACAGTTCCAGAAGATTAAGGAAGATATTAATTAACTAAAGGGGAAGAGTCCCCGCCTTTCTTTCTGAGTTTCCCTTCCACCTTTCTCTTTCTAGAGATAGGTTCAACGAGACCCAAGAATTTTAATTGAGGCTTGGCTTTCTGTTTTACTGATTTTTAATTTGAAACTTCAGCATTACTGTCTAGTGGAATTCCTATCAGCTCCTCAAAGGTGTCGATGGGTACATCAGCCGACAAAAGAGTATCAGAACCATTCTAATCAATTTCGGAACATTCCAGTGTCTTCAGGCAATTGGGAATGATGATGGAATCAGTTGCTTGCTCAGTAACACAAGACAGCAAGTGAGTTCCATTTTTCCCATCTATAGCTTTATCCATATTGGAAATAGATTGCCTTCCCAATTTTTCCTCAGTGTTTGAGTCGGATATATCATCAAGAATCCCAAAGCTATTTGAAATTTGTAATTCTGCTACAGTGACAGTTTTAGATGGAAGAGGGGGATTGGAATCCCTGCTAGTTTTTTCCATTATGTCATCCAGAATGTCAGAACTCCTAGTCAATTTCAAATCCGTTCGAGCTGCAATACTCTGATGTGGGAGATCATCAGTATTGATTGGAATAGAGATGCCTGGATCAAGATGGTTAGTATTGTCTGAGGTGCCCGCAGTCTTACCGTCATTTCTCAAAGATGCCCCACGGTTCCTCAACTGTCTCAATCTCTTCTTGAATTTGACGTGCATCCAAGGTCCATATTCACTTTGATCAGCTTGGTGGGACTCTTCATTTGTAACTTCAGCCGGTGATTTACTGGTTCCAGTTGCACGGAGGAGATCTGGGCAAACCGAATTCAGATGCCCAATTTTAGCACAATTGAAGCAGAATGAGGACAGTTTTTTGTATTCAACTTTTTGAAAAAATCTTCCACCTAAGCCATCAACCCATATACTCGAAGGTAATTTGTTTTCCAGATTTAAGCGCACACAGACCCTTGTGAATTCCTTTTTGCTCCAACTAAAGGAATTACCATCAAAGAACAATGGTGTGCCAATTCTTGAAGCTATCATGGCTATGTTGGTTTCATCCCAACAATGAAAGGCAAGCGAGGGAAGCGAACCCAGACAGGTGATGTTAAGCCTTTCAAAGAGAGCGGCGAAAAAGATGGTGACCATTTATCTAGCCCAATTATGTGTCCACCAATGTACCAAGGTCCTCCGCTTAAGACTTCGTCCATAGCAGTGGTAGTCTTAAAAGAACATAGAATCCAATTCATCCCTAAGGAAGTTAGATGAAAGTTACCAAACCTATTACATTGTTTGCGTAGCTCACTACTGCAAATAGAGAATGGAATATTCTTTCCTAGTACCTTCAGCACAATAGAATTCTGAAGAATTTTAGAATTGGTGATTTCCAATTTGGTGTTTAGTTTGACTGCTAACCCGTCTGAAGACATGAGGGTGGAATTGGGATCAAAATTGATCTTGATGCGTTGAGGTCTTGACCAAGCGTTGACAAAAGAAGTCTTCGGGTTCTTCATATCTTCAACATGCTTGTCTTCCAATGAAACAATATCACCCGGATTTGCAGATTTCTGGGAAACAAGGATATCTCGATCTAGTGTCCCAAACATTAAATTTGAAGAATCAGGGAGATCTTCAATCCTATTAGCATCATAACCTCCTAGGTCAGAAGATGAAGGATCTAATAAGCCCTTGCCCTTCAAATCAGACGTTGCTGAAAATTGCAAGTCAAGTCGTTCTTTAGGAAACTGAAGAACTGATCTCGAAGTTAGCGTTCCGGTGATGTTTGTCGATTGCTCCAGGGGCAGACGATCAATAGGGATTTGTAGGACCATAGAAGTGTTGCAAATCTATTTTTATGGCTTTTGT